CGATAAATGCAAAACGAAGAATTGGCATTTCTACCTCTATCATAAAGCTGGAGGCGAGTATCAACTTTAAAGTTTGAAATTGCTGGTGATCTTATTTGAAAACTTGGTCAAACTTGCACCAGAGATGAAGGGCAGATCGCTAGGAACCCATTCCTCAGATTGTTAAACAACATTTGTTGGCCAAACCCAAAAACTGGTGGGTTCTTTTTAACGCCTGCTAAATCTGGTAAAGCTGCTATTCCACTGGTATCAGAGAATTTCGCAATCGGCTACGCCCAACTGCAATGCTCATCTTGGTTCTGATTTGGTATGCTTTATGGACTCATGAGTCACCCAACGGTGCTATATATATATACATATACAAATATGAGTAAATGAGTTGATGTAAAAGAACTTACTTTTGTCAACCCCTCATTCAGAAATCATTTGCAGAACCTGTCAACAAACTGAGTACAATTGGGCTTTATTTATTGGTGATACTTAAGTATATATATAGAGCACCATGGAGACGATTTTCGTCGCCAAGCTTTTCATTATCTCTTCAAGGAAAATGCATGTAACAGTTTAGTCAGCGAGAAGCGAATCTCGCAACTGCGATAAGCTTCTCTCATGTGTAATCATATATATATATATGGTAAATATATGCACTTGCAGATGTATTATACTGAGAAAGTGGTTAGGGAAAGGCAGAACTATAAATGCCCATGCACAGAGAGAAATAAATGTATTTTATAAACAATAATTCAAGAATTGTTCACTCCAAAATGGCAAATCTTATGTTTAATCACAAATCAAAAATGTCTTCATTTAGGAATAGAAGGAAACAATTCTTGGCTCTTTTTGCTCTGTTCTGATACGATTTATACTTTAGTCGGAAATATGGAATGGATTCAAGACATATTCCATCTAATGAACAATATAACTTTATATTTATTTGTGTTTTTTATTTATTTATTCTTATAATGATTCAGATTGTGGCTTAAATTTTATTTAATATTTTAAAATTTAAAAATTATTAAAATATATGATTAATTGGCGTTATGTGTCTATATAAATGTCTGACTATATATATTAATAATAATAAATATCTACTGATAAATGTATGTGGCATGTAAATCAATAATGTTGCTCTTGTTTTGTTCTATATTGGATTATTATTATTAGTTCCGACTTGCCACAAAGAAGGGCAAGACCAACATATTTCAATTTATATATATATATATATATATATATTGATAGCTCTGTGTGTGTAATGGCAACTCAAGTGTCAATCAAGCTGCTTCTTGTGTTGCATTAACAAAGAAAACAAGAGACAAATGCCAGCTTTGGCAGACGTCGAAGATTAAATACCCTTGCAGATATCGAAATATCTGCAATATCGAAACTCTAGTTCCGAATTTGAGTACTTTGCTTTATTAATAATTTAATATTTATGTTGTTATATATAGGCATATATGATATAGTAGGCTGATTCGATCGCACGTCGAGTTCTGAGTGACCCAAGTAAAAAAGACAGAAAGATTGACAGAGTCAAGCTGACGCTGATCAAGAATATATATAAATATATATATACATGTGTATATACTCTATAGGGTCATCGAAGACTGCATCAATGCGTTACACAGTTCATGACAAAATGATCAGAGCCTCTGCAAAGGGTATCAGAAAAAGCGAAATTTCTGAGCAGGCTAATCAGAACGAGAAAATGAACTGCACACATAAAGTCAATTGGACAGATGCGTGTGAATATGCATATATATGCATATATACATATATGCACTTATGAATGTATCTATGTATCTATGTATGTATGCATGCCAATGTTTGCTTGCAACTCAATGCAAACGGATGACAAAATTACGCGCATAACTTTTCAAATTGCATTAAAGTCAACTGCGACGGCGACGGCGACGGCGACGGCGACTGCAAACGAAGTTGATAAAACTATGGCAGATGCTGCAGCTGCTGCTGCTGCTGTTGCTGGTGCTGCTGCTGTTGCTGTTGCTGGTGGGCACTGTGCAATGCTTGCTATCTGCTCGAAATGCACATTTCAATGGGATTCAATTGCTAGTTGCTGGCGGCAAAAAACGCGGGCAAAACGCGTGCGCGCAGCACGTCAACTGGCAAATGCGATTAGTCATACACACAGAACACAACACACACACAACACACACACACACACACACACACACACACACACACACACACACACAACACACACACACAGAACACAACACACACACAACACACACACACACACAACACACACACACACACAACACACACACACACAACAGCAACGCGAAAGCAAAGCAAAACACGCAATGCGAAACATGCGCAATGCATTTTCATGTTGCATCAGTGCACAGCACAAATGTGATGGGTGGTGCGGGTGGGTGGTGCACCACAGCACCACACCACACATGTACTGTGTGGTGCAGCACCACAGCACAACACAACACAACACAACAGAAGGACAACACCACACACAATGCAAGCCCACTGTGCGGTTGGGCGCTTCTATGCAATCAATTTTTGGTTTTATTTTCTATTTCTATTGCACAAACTTCCGAAATGAAGTTGATTTATTTTATTTAATTGCATTCGAACGTCATTTATCATATTATATATACATATATATATATATATATATATTGCAACTTTTCTCGAGTGTTGACAAATTTCAATACATAACAGTTATGCAAAAAGTGACAGCCAATTAAGACACCTTTCCGCATCTGTCGCAGTATGCGGCAGGTGTTGCACAAATTAACAGCAAATTGTTGCAGTAACTGAACTTAGATTGCATCCAGCCCACAACGAATGCTTATTGGAAATGTAACAAGCGGATTGTTTCTATATATAGTAATGTATACTATAAGATATAGTCATCTGATACTGATAATTCTTATGCCATAAATGTTGTAACTGTTGTAACTAGCTGGGTAATCTGTGTAGTGGAAGTGATCTTTCATCAGAATATATCTACTCGACTCGATAAATAACTATAGATATACGAGTATGTACCCACTTTGATCAGAGACGACTCCTTCACATAGATAAAAGGATTAGTTTAGTTTTGATAAGGATATAAGGATACTTGGTGATATTTAAGTAGCTAAATTGTATTATTATTAATATTGCTATATTCATTATTATTCATATTATTAATATAATTATTTGTTATCTATACTCTGGCTAAGACTGAAAGCCATCTCGGTATGCTGTTAACCGAATGATCCGTTAACTTGGCCCGTTTGACAGCCTATTGAGAATATCAGGTTCTGAGATGGTTCCCACAAAAAACAATCAATTTGCTGTCGAAATGCATTAAAATTGAATTTGCATTGAGAGATAATTTGGAAAACGCTTCGTTTTCGGAACAATACGCAGCTTTGGAGCGAAAACGTGTTTCGGTTTCGGTTTCACTTTCTCTCTTTCTCTCTTTGTCTCTCTCTCTCTCTCTCGCACGGCGGCTTCTATGCTAATTTTGTCGAGCACAACAGGCAATAGCACGACTTATAAAGAGCCAATAAAAAACGAGTCGAGGAAAGGCATGCAGTGAAATTTTCAACAGCTTTGGTATGCTATATATATATATATATATATATGTATATTTATATGTAAAACAAGTATCTTTATCTGACAGTTGGCAAAGAATATGCAGATAAGAAGCGACAACCAATTTCTGTAGCTTTATTTTGAATTTGTATTTGGTTTTTGCTTTTGGTCTAAAGTAGAAACGAATTCTTTGTGGGGAAAAGTCATCTTTTCAATGGACTTCCATTCGAATGGGAATGTAATGCATGAAATTACGCATTCTACACGCTTTTTAATTAGCTTGTGATTAAGACTGAACGATTTGATATAAGGATCTGATTCACTGCTGTAAATAAAATTACATGCTGACAATCACCAACTGGAACTGGAATATCCAAATGCATATTAGTGCTTATCACAGAAAATAACTTGACTACAAACATGTTACTTCAACAAGAAACCGCATTCCAATGCTAAATTTGAATGTGGCAAATGCTGATATAAATGATTGGTTTCGATGTGGTTTTTAAGCAGAGGAAGTTTAATCATTAATCACTAACCATTTAAATGCAGAGAAGAAGTAATAATTCTTAAAGGATTCTTTGCTTTCCAAGCAAACGAAGTCAATAAATCGATATTTATCGGAGACCAGTTATCGAAAGCACATATATATGGTTATCTACATTCAAGACATACATCGTCTAGCTTTAATAGTATCTGAGATCGGTGTTTTTGACCTTTGTCGTCCTCGTCAAGAATATACATATCGCAAATATCATCTATTTTTGCACAGCTTAATGATCTCTAATCTCTAATAGAGATTTATAAACAAGCCAGAAGAGCCATATTATCTTATTGTCAGAAGTTTATACTGTGCCCATTAAACATATATATCTATATATATATATATATATATATATTTATATAGTAAGTCGAACAGAGTTATCATGTGCCACAATCGTTCAATCTGGCAGCAGAAACTGTTTTTCAAAGCGGTACGAGAAGACACCATAAAGAGCACGACTTCAGATAAGAGAACATTTCGAGAAAACCCCATAGCTCACTAAACACATTCATATGCGAGGGTTGACTCAGAAGTATGCATTCTTTTAGACAAATGCTACTTATTGAAATTGAAATAAATTAAATCGAATCAAAAAGAATTCATTTGAATTTGCCAAATTTGTTTAGCGCAAAATGTTGTCTAAATTTAAACAGTTTGACCGTCTTTTGTGAAACCAAGCAATAAACTTAAAATTCAATAAAAATAATTAAATTTTCTTATAAAAGTCGACGCTCGAATTTTATACATAAAACTAAAAACGTAAGAAAGATATATATGTATATATATATTTTATTAGTTATTTATTTATTTATATATATAAAGGAAGTATTTCGATCGCTCTTTGTATATCGAGTAGGGCTTAAAACATCTGTTGGTTTCTTGTTGTTGTACTCACCGTGGGACGGTTATATATATTTGTTGGAGCATTCAGATCGTACATGGAACTGGCTCGCTTCTTCGCCTCGATCACATTGAACATTTTTCTGGCATCCTGGCACTCGGCACAGTTGGCATCTGGTGGCTGTGGCTGTGGCAGTTTCACACTCAAAGTGGCCATGCCAGATACGCTTTTGTTGTTGTTAATGTTGTTGCTATTGTTGTTGTTATTGTTGATGTTGTTGTTGCTGGTGTGGTGGTTGTTGTTTTGTGTGTGAGTGTGTTTGCTATTCGAGGTAAAAACCTGCGAAATGCTGCGAAAGATGGTTCGATATCCCCTCTTGTTCTCCGAGTCACCAGCCATGGCCACAATCTCTTTTAGCAGATCTCAATGATCCTCAACAATTCACAGCAATTTGCTTTGCTGTTGTTATTGTTTGTTTGTTTATTTATTTATTTTTTTTTATTTTTTTTACTTTTTGATTATTATTTATTGTTGTTATGTATTACGTATTGAATACACCCACAAATATGCACAATCACATACAAATAATATATAGAAAACACTGACATGCTCACGAACAGCAGCTGCCAACTGTATAACTGTATATGTTGGCCTTTGTTTTTGGCTGTCAACTTGCCAACAGCAACACCAACACCAACACCAACACCAACGACACCTTCAAGACGACAACGATGACTGCGACTACGACTGCGACTGCGACAGCGACTGCAACTCAGCGGCAGCGTCTCTTTCAATTCTTATCGCCACAGTGCTTGATAAGCAGCGTAGTTATTAACGGTAGTTTATTTGTTTCGGCATTTGCAGTAAAATCAATATAAAAAAAAAACAACAACACTACTGGACATGCATGTAGAGCAAGCGTGTGTCGTAGTGATGGTGATGGTGGGCGCAAAGGTGGACGGAATCAGACTCGGACTGCTCGAACTTGTTCCAGGCGACCAACTAAAGAGCACTGCGAAAACTTCATAGGCGCCAGCCGACGTCGACGTCGACGTCGACACTCGCGTCACCGTTGTTTCTTATTTTTGGTTTTGTTTTTGTTTCTGTTTTTTTCAGCTATTTATTTGTATTTTTATTTTGTGTTGAATTCTGTTTTGTTTTGTGTTTCGCAGTCTTGTTCTTGTTGTTGTGAAGCGCTTCTAGTTGTACAGTGGTGCGATGTTGATTAATTTGCGACGGTCACCAGCTGTGTGCTTCTAAATGAACATCACTGTGTGTGTGTGTATGTGTGTGTGTGTGTGTGTGTGTGTGTGTGTGTGTGTGTGTATGTGTGTGATATCATCAGATTACATCTTGTGTTAAGATTAGATTAAATAGACAAAGAAACGTTTTTTCAGATGATGGCACAAGTACGTTTAAACTTTCTGAAACTTCCAGGATGATCTGTTTACAACATAGAATAATATTTTTAGTTAATCTAAAATCAAATATAATGTATTGGAAATTTTCGAAATTAGTAGTATTTCTTTTTCTTTAAAGATGATGTGAAAAACTCTAATTTATTATTCAATTGCTGTGAATGCAGATGGATTATATTTCTTTGCTTTCTTATCGCTGAAGAAAAAAAAATAAGATGTGAAAAACTTGAAATATTGTATTATTCAGCAGTGTTGAAAAACGAATCGTTTTGTCAAACCATAAATTCCTAAACAAATAAAATTAACCAGGCCGCGCTTTGTTTGTTATGCTAAATTCTTGTCAAGCACAACGAGCGCAGATGTTTTCTTTCTGAATAGTCTCGAATATTAATTGAATAATAAACACAAAAAAGAAAAAGAAAAAAAGGAAATAAAAAAATACGCTTTCGTCGCAATAGCTTTAAGCTGGACCGTTTCTTAAATCGGCTTTCACCGCTCGATTACTGGGCGAGAGTGCAAATGAGTTGTGCACCACTGTGCCGTTAATGTTTTACACTTTGGCGGGTGTTTATCAAAGCCTACGGTTATTGCTGCCTATCGCATCGCACCCTTACGTCATGTGTATGTGTAAGTGTGCGCTTATGCATGTGTGTGTGTGTGTGTGTGAAGGTTTAAATTAATGTTGGGCACTTTGATTTGTTTTTGTTTCGTGCTTTTGTGCTTTTGCAGACCAGACCAGAGTGTGACCAGAGGCGCTTACTCATGTGGCTCAGCTGGCGCCTCAAGAATCTCAGTCAACGTTAGCCATGCACAATGTATGTATGTATGTATGTATGTATGTATGTATGTGTGTGTGTGACAATAGCCAATTGCAATTTGCAATTGCATTTCATAGTTTGCCGTTTGCCGTTCTCCGTTCGCGATTGTCGAGCACGTCACGTACGCGTTTTAATTAAATGCCACTGGGCCCGCTCTGCTGGAACTGTTGTGTGTGTGTGTGTGTGTGTGTGCGCCGCATCGAAAACGAAATCAAAGTAAACGAAGCGATAGACTATAGACGATATATGACTGACGACTAACGACTGACGATGGGCCACTTCCGGTTGACACACGACTAACCGTCTAAATAAAGCTGGCCCAAAAGCCAGCGGCAACAAAAATCCAAAATCTAAAAATCAACATCAAAACCAAAACACAACACACAAAGCAATACACATACATATGCATATGCATGTGTGTGTGTGTGTGCACATACATACATATATACAGAATAGATGTAACCAAAGCTGAAGAAAACGGGCAAACTGACAAAGCTGCCTAACCGAAGAGCGCTGGCAGAGCCAGAGGCAGAAGCAGAAGCAGAGCCACAGTCAGAGCCAGAGGCATAAGCAGAAGCAGAAGCAGAACGAACCCCGCCAACAAAGCGGCCCCCGCAAAAATACGGCAACGACGACCACACGATGACTTTTGAATAATATTTACATTTATTGTATGCACGTGTCTGTGTCTCTCTATGTGTGTGTGTGTGTGTGTGTGCCACAGTTTCAAGCTGACAACGAGGCAGCGGCCAAAAAGCGAGTTGCGTTTGTTAACGATGCGCAAAACAACGTCGAACAAAAGCTACAACTGCAGCAGCGTCTTGGGGTGGTTTGGGGGGGTTCTTTGGGTGGGGGAGACAAACCTAACGCAAAATATAAATAACGAAATTATAGCAGCAGCAGCAGAAGTTAGTTAGTTATAAACAATGCACATTAAAATGTGTGGCAGCAAAAAGCAACAAGAAAAATTGACTTAAGAAACGCGAGCAAAACGCGCGCGACTTTTGCACGCGTTATGCGAAAGCACTTCGAATTGCATTGGTGTTTGTGTGTCAACAGCGAATGCAAGTGTCACTCTCTCTCTCTCTCTCTCTCTCTCACTCACTCACTCACTCACTCACTCACTCTCTCTGTCTCTCTCTCTCTCTCTGTGTGGCAAATGCATTGAAAATGGGAGTCATTTGCAAATGTGGGTCATGCCACTTTAATATCTATCGGATGATGCCGGCTGGCTTTGGGCTGGCATTAAACTCAATAAAGTGAATACTTTTTTTTTTGATTCGATTGCACTTTATGAATATATGCAGAATTTTGTGTTATGGTTAAGTGCAAGTCTATTAAGCAAATCAATTGCATGCAATCATTTCTGCATTTATTTTAAATTTATTCAATTTACAATTAAATATTTAAAGATGCAATATTTATTTATACACAGAACTCGTCTCTAAATTTGTAGTTACAGATTTAAACTGCTTACACTTTTGGCTAGACTTTTCAGGCTATGAGAAATTGATTGGTAAATCACAACTGTTTTCATGGTCCGATCAACATGAGAGCTGTCATTAAATGTGCCGCAGAAGAAACCAGATTGTTGGTTGTTAACCAATTTCGTGGCAATCGTTCGAGGGTATTCAAAAAGTGATTTATACCCATTATTACAATAGTTAATAGTTGATGCAGCAGAACATATATCCACAATCATAATAGAAACCTAATCGCAGTACCCTAATAAATTATAGTCAGATTTTAGAGAATAGAAATCAGAAATCAGATCGAATCCCGTTTATTCAAGCAAAATGCAATATTTGATCGACATCATAACGAATACATAATATATATTTTTGCATTGGGCCTATCGCTAATCGATCAATCGATTTGTAAATGCCAGACTGATCTTTGATATATTGGATTGCCAATTGTTGGCTATAATGAGGTAATTCGGCTACGATAACGACGACCAGGAGTTGCAGCAATTGATGATCGATGTGGTGGACAGCAGTGGCACTGGTAACATGCAATTTGCCACATTCTGTGACGCTTTGCTCGCTGCGAAAGAGATTGGCAAATTGACAGAATCCCTGTTAAAATATATTTCAATTAAATTGAGTTGAAGGTAATCATTCGTGTTGGGCATGAATCAAAGCTATATATATGATATATATATATGTATTTATATATAGAGAGGGAGAGAGATATAGACTAGTTGGCGCTTTCGAGCAGAGTGAACGAGGAGGTTGCGCTGAGCGAGGCACGCAGCTGGCAGAGCTCCTCCAAGAGATCGCGAAAGAGCATCGGATTCACATTGACGCTGACCTTCATCAGGATGAACCAATCGCCGATGGTTAAATGGCTAAAGATGCGCTGCACATGCTCTTTGGTCATGAATCGCAACTGGCTGCGAATCATCAGTTCGCGCAGCGTCCGGCTGACCATCATGGTTAGGCGACAGAGCAGATTTAGGCCAGCGATGATCGCCATGAGGAGGAACCAGCACCAGAGGCACACAAAAATCTTCTCGTTGAGTATGTTCAGTGGCAATATGCACAGGTTGTCCATAATGCTGGCCGTGCCACTGGCACCATACTTGAGAACCTCGCACTTGGCTATCTTGGGAAAGACGAGCGACGACACCCGATTCCAGCGATCCCAGTCGTATAGCGGTATCGTTGCCAGTGCATGCATATACTTGCTCCAGAAACCATTCAGGAACACCTCCAGCACCAGTATGTTCACCACCTGTACACAACAAAAAGAATGATGGAATTGGAGGAGGACGATTTTGGAGGAGTTGGAGGAGGAGCAGCAGCAGCCAGAGGACTCACACTGATCGCAAAGTTGAGCAGCTCACAGAACACATATTTGGCCATGTAGCAATAGTGCATGTCCGCATAATCTGTGGTAAAATACTTGACCAACAGTCGCAGCCGAGTGTTATATGTCTGCTCGGAGAGCAGCGCCTCGCCCACCTCCGAGCACAGTTGCTTGAGCCGCTGACCCTCCCACACCTTCCACAGGCACGACGGAAAATAGAAGACGAACGATTGAAACAGCAGCAATATGATGACCCACTGATAGTAGCGCAAATAGACGCGCTGCGTCCTCCCATGTATCTCCGGCCCGACACCCTCCGCTATTAAGATGGCCCGTGCATACTCCTCATTATAGTTCGCCCGTTGGCGCAGACTCATCCGTGATGATTTTGGTTGGGATGGGGATGGGGATGGCAGATCGATGATATTGTTATCCAGCTGAATGATGTAGGTGCCCATGGTCCAGCAATAGGATTGTATGAAATTAATGTTCTTCTCCTCGCTGATGCACTGGATGGGATCGCCAAAGTATTGTCGAGCCGATAGCAGCAGCGAGCAGGTCAACAGGATGACAACGGTGCACTTGGAGTGGATGGTGAAGACGGCATCGTAGATGCGTATCGATTTGAATTGTAGATATTTCGACAGTGGCTTTACGGCCGAATACATTTCTTGTGCCTCGGGAAAGAGTTCCTCAACGACTGTGTCCAATTCTCAACCCAAACTTGAAGCACTCCCTTCTTTTTTGTGTGTTTAATCTTATTGCTTTGCTGGATTCTTCCACTTGTTCTTCTCCTTCTACTTGCTATATATATTCTCTATTCCTAAGCACTTATTGCAGATTGTTGTTTGCTGTGATTGTTATTGCAGTTGAATTATGTTCGCACTCTTTCTTGCCGGCCTGAAAATAGCGATAAAAGTGAAATGTTGGTTGTCGCTCGGCTTTACACAGTTTTTAGTGCTATTCCTCATCATTACATGTACTGTTTTACATCTGATTCACATCAAAATATTTCGAATGTCAATTTTTGTTTTCTTTGCTGGTACGTCAGTTATCGATAGCCAATTTGACACATTTGACAAATATTTTATTGGCTGCACTTTAGTAAATTTGGGCGTCGTTAGAAACCATTGCATACTCTTAGGCGGCGCATGAAAATTCTGCCAGAACAGTTTGACAGCTATTGCGATTTCGACAGTTGCATTCATATTTCCAAGATTATTCCACTAGTTATCTATACATATATATTATATATTCTTTAAGCATATATACTATTCTTTTGTTATATGTACATTTCGTTAGCAGCGCAGCTACCGATAGCTTCTGTCAGAATGAGTGAATTCCCAGTGACTGCAAAACTGCGTTACACCCAAAACCATTGCATACATTTGGGCGGCACATTAAAACGACACCCACAGTTTAAAATGCTGAAACACGTTTTAATAAATTTCAATCATTTTAATTATTAACTCATCGCATTTATTTTGCAACAAAATTTATGCACTTAACAACTAAAACTTTGTAGCGTCGGCATAATTCTTGTGGTTTATGATTCCGCCCATATTCAGCCTTAATTAATTAATTTATGATGCATTCAGTCCACGTCCACGGCCTGAAGTTCAATTGCCAATTAGTCCAAGTTCAAGAATCCAATTATTGAAGGTATCTGTAATTAGCACAAAATAATGAAAAAAAATATACATATTTATATATATATATAAATGTACATATATAAGTAAACCCAACCAATAGTATTAACAAAACCACACACGCACGCACAAGCTAATTAGCGTAAATCAAATTAATTTATTTGCTTTTTGGCCCTGTGCTGCCGGCGACACCCAAATTAAAAAAGTAGCATTCAATGAAAATATAAAAAAAATTATGTGTATACATATATATGTGTAAGACAAACGTATGTATCTATATATAAATATGTGGGCCATCATCAATTGTAATTTGCTTTGTCGTAGTCCCAGCATATTATTCAGAGGCATGGAAATCCGCTTAAACATTTTCAAGCATTTGATTACATATATTTACATATGAATATTTATTTTTATTCATTGGAACGCCCGCTTCGAGGCTGACAGCATTCACTGTACGAGATAACATTATTAAAGTCAAGGAATTTCGTCTTAGTCAACTTAATTTAATTTAAATGTATCAACTTGCAGCTAATTGGATAAAATCTCAAGCCAGTTAAACTGTTTACTTGCACAGAACATGTGTTTTTAAGTGTGTCTGTAATTATCATCTCCACCACACACATACAAATCAGACTTCAAGTCGCAAGTATCGTAAAAAAAGCACACATAAATAAATGAAGTACTCGCCACCAATGTGGTGTTCCCTGAACTTGACCTCCATGACACTCAATGTGACCGACAACAACAACAATAACATCAATAATAATAATAGTAATAGTAATAGTAATAATGTTTTGTGTGTTAAAACGTCACGAAAATTGAAATCACAGTTCACAAGTTGATGCTGGAGTTGAGTTCTTGGCTGAGTTTGATCATGCGCAGAGTTCGAAGCGAGTTCGAACAACAATTGAATGTTGACTACAGAAAACATATTGCATTTTATGTATCGGCATATATAACATATCTATTTATTATAAGATAAGTAAGTATTTCCGGCGCACACTAATCCGATGATTCATTTAAAATCCAGTATTTTTACGACTCGAATATTTTAATAAACATCACTCACAATAGAGACCAGTTGGGACCAGTTCTTTGAAATTCTTTTGTTTTATTCTTTATTTATTTATTTCTTTACTTTTATTTTTTTTTTGATTTAATGACTTCCATTTTTCCATTAAATTAATTATGTTTGTTTTATTAATGCCGCCTTTGTTGGTATTTCTGGTTATGAGTATTGTAAAAATTATTTGGACGACTCAACAAAATATGCGGAAGCACTACGAAAAATTGATATAATAAGAATAAGAATAAGAATAAGATGAAGAAGTCGTGATTAAAGAGTGCTACGCATATGGCATAAGAATCAGCCGTGTAAGAACAAGAATAAAATAATAATTTGGAGCTTTAAGCGATTATTTGGAGTCGCGGCTTCTTGTCGCTTGTCAAGTAATTGTGACTTGCGAATTCTTTTCTTTTCTTTTTTTCATCTTTTTTTTGGCGTGTTCCGCAACGCTGTGCACAATAATAATAATAAAGATATTGGAGCGTACAGTCACAGATACATGCAAACATTGTTAGATACACGGATGCCGAACAAAAGATACATGTACGAAAGAGTCAAGCTTGGCTGTGATATTCTCGAGATACTCTCAACGTTTGCTTGTTAATAATTGCCCCAAATTGCGGATACAGCTAAATATACTGCTATAGCTACTGATACAGATACAGATACAGATACAGATAGGGATGGAGATACACGGTCATTTTTGAATCTTTTTGGGCAGCATTCAAAGTTTGGCGTTTGGCGTTATGCAGTTTTGGCATTTTCCAAAAATATGTAAAGCAAAAAAAAAAAAAAAGAAATAACAAAAGCAATTTACTATTATTTATGGCATTATTGTTATTGTTCGAGTTGCCCGAGCAGCGACCACAATCTCATTTAAGCCACATGCATGAGCTGGCAACCGAACATACCAATTATAGAAATTTAATTTGGCCAGCCAGCATTTAGTGCAACATTTAGTTACCCAGGGGTTGACCACAATTCACAAATTCATATTTATGTTTACCCATTTGTATTTGTCTTCAAATTTCAACATTTTGCCAATTTGATTTTTGCTTTCCATACGAATCTGTGTGTTTTTGGCCAACTTAAGCAAATAATTAAATTCGCAATTTTCGTGATTATTTTATTTTATGCGATCCAAGTGTTCTTATTGGGGGAGGAATAAAAACTACATTAAAGCAGAAACTTATTTGTTTTGGCGTACAATTGAATAACACTTCCCCACATAATAAAATGTGTCATTAAAAAAAATGATTTTAGCCACTTTTGCTTGGCATACTTTTGGACCCTTTGAGAGCGCACTTGCACTGCATACCCTGTACGAATTGACAAATGGCTAATAAGGTTATCACAACTATAACAACTTGTTCAAGTTCAAATTGCATTTCATGTTCATCGTTCAACAGAACGTGAAAAACGCATTCAATCCAAGTTCAAGAACTCAATTGAGCTCTTGATATGATCCCAGCTACCTACTATTTGTTATAGCCACTATCAAAAAGTAAAGGGTAATTTTCCACTATTAAAAATCTCACAAAGTGCAATCTGAGTCACTTTGTATTGCATTGTTTTTAATAGATTCGGGGAAATAAATACGGAATCTACTTTTTCAATCTTATTAAATTTAATCACAGATATTTTGTGTGTATATTTTTTTATCTGATATTATTAGTTATTAATGCCTCTATTTTCTATATTTACGTATTTTTTTTTTATAATTCACAGACAGGTCTTGACTAGTTTAGAGCCTCATTAACAAACTGGCTTATATAGGAAATATCTATATTTACAAACAGGGTGGTTCAGCACTAGTTGCTCACGGAACCCCACAGAGCCACTAATTAGGTATCAACTCACTGATATTTTGTATAATTTCTTACCAAGTTGCTGGTCAATTAACGCAAGAGTGATAAAAGTAGCGCATCTGCATATCCATCAAATTGGAAGCGCAGTTTGTGGCACAACAATAAATCGAACGCATTTCAATTCTTTCGATCCGGTTCTAAATATCTACACACACACACATATATATATGTATATATATATTAATCAATATTACACTTGACAAGAAACAAAAAATGCTCAAATGACGGAAACCGAATAAGTAAAATAAAAATTTAAAAAAAAATAGCAAAATATTTCCGGCTTGGCTGATTTACGATTGGCTTTGTGCTTTGACCCACGACAAGCGATTGAACATAATATGTTAATATTTCTTCACCAAAATCCAATAATAAATTGTTATTTAGGTTGTATTTATTTTTTTTTTATTGTTGGGCACCTTGACCGTGTGCCATGTTGGCAAGGCTGCTAATTAGCCACAATCAAAAAAAAAAGAGAAAAAAATAAGAAAAAAGAAAAAAACCATTGATAGATGCTCTTTGGCATATTGTGCGATTAGCGGCGCAGCGTTAAATGAGTCGAGGGCAACCACAACGGATGCGTAATTCCAAAAACCGGACCCCTTTTAGAGTGAGAGTTCTAAAAAAGTTCCAAAGACCCACCTTCGTCACAAAGTCATCCTCCGGCTGTTCAGTGGGCGGCGCCATTGCGATCGAGTTGTCTTCTACAATTTTATTTCAATTTTACTCTATTTTATTTTTATTTTTTTTGTTGATTTCTTTCAAGTGTCGAATACTAATTGCAGACGATGATTATTTGCACCAGAATTCCATAAATGGTCATAATTCAAATGGGGCACAAAAAACAAAAACAAAATACAAAAACACAACACAAAATAATGCAACAACAAAAAAGAAATGAACAGAAGGAACCGTTATAGCTTGAATATAGCGTTTAGCTCGTTTAACGAACCGTTGCGTTTTGAGCTTAGCTTCAAACTGACAGCGAAGGCGATCGCCAAGCAAGTTCAATGCGTTGTCTTCGTCATCGTCGGCGTCGCCGTCGGTTCTGCTCGGGTTGAGAGGTGTCTGTGTGTGTGTGTGTGTGAGGTGTGTATGAGAGTCGTTCGCTTGTTGTTGTTGTTGTTCTCGCTACGGTTTATGGCAAACTGGTTCTGGTTCTGTTTAAGTTCGCATTTTGGGCCCGAGCTTCTATCCCAGTTCGAGCGACAGTTTAATTTTTATGGTTATTGCTGTTGCTGTTGCTGTTGTTGTTGCTGTTGTTGTAACTCTTGTCTAGCTGAGCACTTGAACTTGTTGCTTGAACTTAACGCAGGCCCCTGCGCAGCTGCTCATCAACACCCCGCCCCGCCCCTGAAGGCGAGACAGGTGGACGCCAATTCTCAGCTGTGCATTCAAATTGAAAATGACAACTGCAGCAGGCAAATAAGCAATTTAGCTTGACATTGACCATACCACAAGACATGCAACAGCTGGCCACCTACCAACTGTGTGCGTGTGTGTGTGTGTGTGCGTGTGTGTGTGTTCGTTGATTGCCTCGTCTAGCGCCCGCTGCACTTTTGCAGCTTTACAGCTTTGCAGCTTTGAGCCTTGCGAGTTGACCTTGAAACGCGCAACGCTGCGTTGCACACACGAGCGATCAACACGTCGCACGCTGCTTTTGTCGCTGCTTTCTGCATACACTTTCAATGAGGTATTATAATTTTCTCACGAAATATATATATTTACATATGCAAACAGCTTTATTTAACTGTCTAAAGTCAATCGTTTCTTAATTTTTTTTTGTTTCTATATCATTTTAACCAATTTGGTTAATTGCTAATGGTCTATAAGGACTCATCATATCTTCGTGGTTTTTTCCATAGCGCATTTGAAAGTCGTCTCAAATTATTTGCAGCTGTAAGCCAACGTTTACTATTTTGGTATCAAATGTGCAACACGATGACAAAGTGTCTGATGGCCACTGAAAGGCGTATCTAGAAGTGTCTCACTAATTAATGTATACGCCGGGTATATTGAACACAAATAAAATGAAAAACAAAAAGAAAAACATTCTTGAATCAAGCCAACTAACTTGTTATTTGTAATCTAATATAAGATTTACTTTAAGATCTTGAGTATTTCAACCGAAACTATCCAGCCAAAAGCAATAATGTTCTTAATATCAAAAATAATTGCGAACTCTGTTGCGAAGCAACTGTTGTAAAATGCGCATAATCTTTCTTGACTTCTTCCCGAAAAGCTCTTCTATTTCAATCTTAAAATATTACAAAGATCGTTTTGGAAATGGAAATATTGTTAAGTGGTCTGAAATCTGGGAACTTGGCCGAATTTTCATTAGATATTTAAACATATTTTATTTATTATTTATATTTTCACTCAAAATCATCATCTTTCTAGTCGAGAGAACTTCAAGTTCTGGCTTAACTTATATGTTTCTAGTTCGAGTTCGAGTTCGAGTTCTAGTTCGAGTTCGAGTTCTAGTTCGAGTTCGAGTTCGAGTTTCAATATTGCTTTTAGAGTATTGAGTTTCAGTTGCATTTGAAGTAAATCTGCCATTCATAGTCCAATAATTATTAAATTTGGCCAAGTGAGTTTTGTCTAATTAAACGCTTGTCATTCCAAGGCTACGGCTCTGAGTGCCCCAAAGTCGATTGTCTATCAAATTAATTATATATACATATATATATCTGTTTTGCTGGCTTAAAGTCGATTGTAAATAATAAATCTAAGATCTCGTCGGCCACTTGACAATCGACAATCGACAATCCAAATAGATTTGATTGCTGTTTGTCAGTGTATAAATTCAGATTATTTGCATCAGTTGGCTGACAAAGGAAATGCCGGGGATTATGAGGCCTAGGTAAGAAAAGAAAAGCCACCCAGCTTAAGCATATTCCCAGCATGTCAGTCATTTGATGGATTTCATTTAAATTACAAATACACAGAGTGAAGATCCCCGAATACCCATTAAAAAGTGGTCAAATTGTGTAAAAGTCTGCAGGAAGCAGAGGAAAACATGTCCAACTTCATAAAGTATACATATTCTTGATCAACATCAAATGAAGAGACGATTTAGCTATGCAGGTCTGTCCGTCTCTATGTCTTAGAGCCTTGTTTATTTGCAGTTGAAACCGTCTTGAAGGAGCAGGTCAAAGTGATTGATTCCATTCCGCTTGTCGACGCGTGTTTTGCACACATTTTTGGTCACACTTTGTACGCATATCAATCTAACAGGTATAATAAAAAAAAATACACATAAAAAATAAAAAAATCGTTAAATTTTGTAGTAAATACATTCATTTGTTATCGAAGATGCCGCTTAACAAATTCGATTTTGACGATTACAACTATAAATAGCCAATAATGGGCCCTCAAAGATTTGAACTCTATTCTATAATCATGTCGATCAATGAAGCATTTGATGTTGCTCGTAAATTTTGATTTATGACCGATAATCGACAGCAATCAGCAGTCGAAACAATTTCGCCAATTTTGTGATAAGGATGCATTGTATATATTCTTCTGGTCTGGTCTGGAGCGGACTATAAAAGGCGAGTGACCATATCAAATGGCCATAGTTGAAAAGCAATATGAAGTTGATCATTGGTAGCATTGTGTGCCTGTGCCTGTGCCTGGCCAGCGTTGGCTATGCCCAGCCGTTGTCGCAGTCCTCGTTCTCGCTGCCAGCACCGCTGGACGCTCAGGTGTACACCGTTGTGGATGAAATGCAGAACATTGGCGAGAATACTGCCAAGGAGCTGGCGCACCAGTTCCAGGAGATTGTCGTCGAGCCACAGCACGAGCTGGAGGCGGCCATCGATCAAGTGGAAGCGCGTCGTGTCGACAGTCCACAGTGTGTGGCCGTGCAGGATGATCGGATCGATGGCATTGTGGGCAACGCTCACGTCGAGCTGCACGAGTGCGGCCTTAGTGCTGCCCACGATTCCGCTGAGATTGCAAGCGATGTGAATCATGCCACACAGCAGCTGGTCTTTGGCGGCTACTCCTTGGGTCGCACCTACAACAAGTGCCAACGCTACAAGAACTCTGTGCTCCGTCAATCCTGCATGGCCAAGTTCTATGTGCAGGGCACCATCTATCTGGTTAACGCACGCTCCTCCATCAAGACCATCAAGAAGTCCACCAACGAGCGCATCCCGGCCGTCTTTGTCGATAGCAACGCCTGCACCCATGTCGCCTCCCAGAAGGCCGTCGTTGCCCTGGATGATGTCAATGCTGATATCGATGCCTGCATCGCCAAGGCTCGTTAAAAATCCCTGCCATTTGCCATTTCCACTAATAAAACTTGTGTATACTTAATCTGATGGTTTTCTTTTTTAAATTTTATTATTGGAAATATGATTTTCCAATTAATTGGGAAAAACATTTGCTCATGTTTATCCATGGAAAAATGGCGAACAACCTTGGAATGTGCTTGGAAATGTCATCTTTGGTTCTAATTAATTCAAGTATCTTTTTATCTATTGAAATATTTGCACTTTTCAAAAGCGAACAAACCAATTAACTTCATTTTTGATGGCAAATTTGCTAAGGAAGATTATCGTATTTGGTATGGGCAACTTTTGGTCGCTTTTAGCGCGGTTTTGGACACTAACCAATTATTGCGACCTAAAAGTCTGGTAAAAGCATTGGCTTTGGGCTTGAGAGGTTCACACAAAAAAATCGGTCATATTCCTTATCAAGCTCTCGACAACTTTATTGGCCGTAATTGCTGCTGGAATTAAATGCGATTTTATTATTCATTTAAGCCTCAACTTTTAATCGATGCCATAAACGCTGTCTAGGTAATTGGGCTGTTATCAAAGTGCAATTTGGCCTTTGAAGTGTCGACTGTCGACGGTTCTAGCCAACTATCAAAATATGTAATCAGAATCGGAGAAGGTTTGTAATTGAACAATAAAAAACAGCTAAACGATTGTTTTATTATTTTATTTTTATTTAAATTTGGTTTTATAATTATCCATTTTGTTCAAATACAATAAATAAACATTTAAACTATGTAGTGGTATGTATATATGCATATATAAGTACTTTATGTATAGATATATACATAAATATATGTGTGCGCACATATATAGATATATATATATATATATATGTATATATAAATCGTTTTGTATTTTTTTGTTTTTATTAAATATTTAATTAAGTGTATATATATTGTTGTTGTTTTTGTTTTGTTTTTTTGTTTTTGTTTTAATTTTCCCTGTTTTCTTGTTCGTTTCTTGTTAGTTAGTTGGTTGTTTTAGTTTTTTAGTTTTTTTTTTTTTTTTTTTTTTTTTTTGGTTTTGCAATTGCGAATTATTTGAAAGAAACATTTTTCATATAAGTAAATTGCTGTTGCTTTTTTTTTTTTTTCATTCATCAAATATCCGAGTATATATGTATATATGTATGTATATATTAATAAAAGATGATGTTGCATAATGCTAATGTATAAATTGTTACTACGAGTATGTACACATACACATGTATATATATAGCCTCTATATAGCCTCTATATAGCCTCAATATATATGTACCTGTATATATACATATATCTGTGTATATTTGTTGTGGTTGTGTCTGTGTCTGTGTCTGTGTATGTGTGTGTGTATGTGTGTGTGTCTCCTGGCTATTTGCCTGGGGGAGCTCAGCGTACATATGTAGATTGTATGTACCGTTATGATGCCAACAATTAGTTAAACTTGTAGCTATGTGTGTGTGTGTGTGTGTGTGTGTGTATATCTGTGTGTGTGTGTGTATACATGTTTCTATATGTAGTTTCTAACCCATTTCTTGGCCTAAGATAAAACTTGTACCTTCCTTACACATTTTTCTTCAAGTTTTAGTAACTTAATTTTAATTTGTTTTGTTTTGTTTTTGTTTTTGTTTTTTTTTTTTTGTTTAGTTTTCCTTGTTGTTGCATAATTTTTATTGGAGTTTTTCTCTTTTTTGGTTTTTAGTTTAGTTTATATTAGTCACAGTTTTGTAGGCGCACTTTTGCAAAACATTAAAATGAATTCAGCGTAGTTTTCATTAAATATTATTATTAATTTTGGTTTTGTTTTAGTAAGTAGTAAAAAATAAAATACAAAAGGCAATTTCGTAGTTTGAAAAAATTTGTGCTTAATTTTGTAGAAATATTGTTGCCAGTTTTGCTTTTAATTCTTTTTTTTGTATTTTTTTTTTTTTTGTTTTTGTTTTTTTTTCCGTTTGCTTTGCTTACATTAAAAAACAACTTAAAACCGTAAAAATTTTTTCAATGCTTCGTTTTTTTTTGTTTTTTTTTTTTTGTTTTTAAGTTTTATATATATTAAGTTCAATAAATTCGTTACGACACATGGACTAAGACACAGCAAAAAATATTTATGCTTAATTTAGGTTCAGTTTTTTTTGTTTCGTTTTTCTTGTTTTGTTTTTTTTTGTTGTTTTTGGTTTTCCTTTTAATTTAATTTTATTTGATGAACTGGTATTTTTGTTAGTATTTTTAATTGTATGTTTTTCACTTTTGGGGGGGCGCATTCCATGTTTGCCATTTAAATGCGCGTGTAAATATTTTTCGTCAATAATAAATGATGAAACAGCTAAAGAACTTTCGTACCTTTGTAGCAATATGTATATATATTTCTTTTGTATACATAAGTGTGGGTTTTCTTCTGTAATTCGTATAAATACATACATGGACTCATATATATAGCGCCATGTTTAAAATTTATATTGCTTGCCTACTATTTGATGCCATTTAAATGTTTAGCAAGAACTTCAAATTGTGTTGCATACACTTTTGGCTTAAGATTTTTTTTTGTTTTTTTGTTTTTTGTTTTTTGAATACTAGAGCTAAACAATCAACGGTCAATTGTCACGAGTTCACTATGATACCGCAATTGAATAAGGGTTTTGTTTTTGTTTTTTTTTTTTTTTTTTTTTTTTTTTTGTTTTGTTTTTATCATTATAATTTTGTATGCTATAATTTTGTTTTGATATGTTCGCTTCAAATGCGTGTCATGAAAATACATTTGCTTTGTATTGATTTTAATTTGTTTAGTTGTTTTTTTTTTTCTTTTCGTTTTCTTTTGTTTTGTTTTGTTTTGCTTTAATACAACTCTATAAATATGAGTACAGTAAATAGCACATGTAACTACATATGTATATGTATTAAATCGGGCAAACGTACTTTTTCTTCGGTATTGTAAACATTTCATTAGGTTTTTTGTTTTTTTCTTTCTTGTGTTTTTTAAATAACGCAAAAAATTTGCTTGTAAAACGTAAATATTTTTCTTATTTATTTATTTATTTATTTATTTTTGTTTTTTTTTTTTTTTTATTATACTTTAGTATGGCCAAAGCTTATTGTCGGAAGCGTTATGCATTTCTTTTTTCCATAAATTATTTTGTTTTATTATTATTATTTGTATAATAGTTGGTATTATTAAAAACTGGTAAACTTTTTTTTGTTTTTTTTTTTTTTTATACGCTCACATTAAAAAATTCATTTTAAAAACTGCTTTAAATCTGTGTACTGTAAATATTTCGCCCATACTAATGTTGTCGCCACTTTGATGGCAAAAAAAAAAAGAAAGAAAAAATAACATATTATTATTAACCAAGATGGAATTATTGATTTGGTATTTTGACGATTTGGTGTCTTTACAGTGTGTTCGTAAGGTCAGTAAGGCTATTTAATCGCATTGATTACTATCTATTAGTATATATACTACGTTCGGAATCTGCTTGATGAGGATTTCAAAATTATTCATATTCATTTTGTGTTCTAGCTTGGTCTTTGCTTACTATGTTAATCACTAAATATGTATGTCTCTATGCTTACATCAATCAACTTTTGATAAATGTATATAAACTTTTGGCGCAACTTGGTTTGTTTTGTTTTTTGATTTTTGTTTTAGTTTTTGTTTTTCGTTTTTGTTGTCGTTTTCATTTTGCGTTTAAATATTATTTAAAACGATCGCTTTTGTTTTTGTTAGTTGTGTGAGCTTCTTGTTAAAGAAAAAAATTGTTCAAAAATGTAACAAACAATTTATTGGCCTATGCAAAAATGATGTAGCATATATACATATATCATAACCTATGATGTATACATATGTATATAAATAAATTGTAAAATATATATGTTGTTTTGTATAATTAAATATTGCATTTGGTTTCGTTGAACGTCTGGACTTTTTTTCTTTTATTATTATTATTATTATTATTAGAATATATTCATAGTTGTTATCTATTTATAACTATTTGTTTTTGTTTTTGTTTTTTGCAGCTACCTAGCATATTAGTTTGGAAATATTAGGTATGTACGTGTATGTGTTATGTACGTATATATGTTTTTGTGTAAGTGTAGAGTGTAAAATATATAGAATATATATATATATATATATATATGTAAATGTAAATTTAAGCATGTGTCACGTATCACCACACAACGATAAAAAAACATGTCGGTGTGTGTGTGTGTGTGTGTGTGTGTGTGTGTGTAGTACAATGAATCGATTCGTTTGCCTAAAATCGCATTCAACTTGAATTCGCAGTTCGGTTACAAATGACAATTATATGCCAGCATTTGCCAGTTATCGATTAAAATCCAAAATTTCACATACTCAATTATATTATGTGCATCAATAGTTATGACAACTTGTTCGTAAGAGTTCATTTAAGAATGGAAATCGTTCTGAAATACAAATAGTATCTATCTGGTAAGTATTTTGTATTCCAATTTAAGCAACTGCATTATTTATTGTATGCTTCCTTTTGAAGAGCCAAAAAGAATACAATTATTTGTTTTTCTTTTGTTTTTATTTTTGTTTTTTATTTTTTTTGACTCGTCGCATAATTAAAATTTTGATTTCCGTACCTGATTGCAATTGTTGTTAATTTGTTATCATAATTCACTGTTGTTTTTTCTTGATACATTCAATAGTAGAAGTGCGCTTTTTGTTTTGTTTTGTTTTTGTTTGTGTGCCACTTTATAGTTCGAAAACGCTTTAAAAATACTACGTACAAACTGTAAACTTGCCATTTGTTGTTCTTGCTTTTGCTATTGTTTTGTTGTAAACTTTAATATGTAAATACACACACAATTAACTACATATATATATACATATATATATATATATATATATATAGTATATAGTACATATGTACTACATAAAAAAACCAATGAGCAAATAATCTAGGACATGTTTTAATATTTGAACTTCCTATACGACTACAATATGCAATTTGTATATATGTTTTGTAAATATACTCGTAAGCTTCCCTATTTTAATGTTAGTATGTATTCATTGTTCTCACAAAATACCGTCATT